GAATATATATATATATATATATATATATATATATATATATATGAAATTATTGTAGAAGTGATATTTTATTAGAAGGTAATTATTAAATTAGCTCTATTTTTTATTTATTGTAAAATTTTGACATGATGTAACTCTTATTGTATTTTTAAATTTGATAAATTATTAAGGTTTCGTTTGGGATAGTTTTGTGATTGTTTTATTTTGTAATCAAAATCATAATTTCTATTTGATCACTTTTCATAGCATTTTAAAGAAATTTATACTAGAAAAATTGCTTTTTACGATCATTTTAGGCTCCGTTTGGGACTGCTTTTTAATTGTTTCTTAAAGTTGTTTTCTAATACAAAAAATAAAATTTTTGTACTAAAAAGCCGCTTAAAGAATCAGTACGAAAGCCGTCCCAAACGAAGCCTTAGACTTCGCTTGTGACAGTTTTTTTATCACTTTTTAAAGTAACTTTTTTGTATAATTTTTTTTTTAATTAGAAAGTTTTCCCAAATGAACCCTTAAATCGTTATTTTCTCTACAAAAGCTTGACAAAATAGTAAGAGTCCGTTTGGGATGAAAAAAAACTTTTTTTAAAGATGATTAACAAAATTATTGTACAAAAATTAGCTTTTTTGAAAGTTATTGTAGAAATCAGTTTCCTAGCAACAAAATTTTTTGAAAAAATAGTGAAAAATCAAAGACAAAAAAGTACCTGTCGTTGCGATTTGAAAAATAAAGTTATAAGAAAATCATCTTAAATGAAGTCTACAAAAGATGTCCCAAAGAACCCAAACGAAGCCTTGATTCATAATCTTGTCATCCAATGTGGCTTAGAAGTATGTCGCCTATTAATTTAATATTGTTTAGCTTAGTGCCAATGGCTATTATTATTTATAAAATGTTGCCACTTTAATAAAAAGCATGAGGGTTTTGATCCAACTTTTCTTTCAAAAGAAAAGAGAAATTTTATCACCTCTGAACTTGGTGGATTGGTAAGATTTATGGGCTAAATCTTTTTGAATGGTAGACAGTATAATATTAATGCAAGAAGTTTGTATGAAACTTAGTTTGTATGAAACTTCTTTCAATCTTATCGATAAAAAAGAATTTTCCTAATAAAGTTATTGGCGGCTTCAACAAAGATATTCTTTATGATAATTTTGGTAAAATATTTTATTTTATAACATAATAATATTTAACTCTTCAAAAGTAACTATTTAGATTATGCAAATGTTGAAAAATTATAAGAAAAACTTCAAAGTTTGAGAGCATGTGCATGTTTATTGATATCTACCACATAACATACATAATTTTCGAACTCAAAATCTCTTGGGCTTTGTTTGGGATAACTGTAGACCACTGCTTTTACTCTATTTTCAAGAGATTTTTTGTACTTGAAAAATAGTTTTACGAAGCAGTAAAAAAGTCATCCCAAACGCAGCCTTGGTTGATAGCCAAAGCTCCCAATCAAAAGATCAAAGTGAGTTGTGTATAAAGCTATTATTTAGAAAATAAATTTTTTTAAAGCTGTTTTTATTTTGAAAAGTCGGTAACTGCTTTCCTATAGCTATCACAAGTTAGCAAATTTGAAAAAAAAAAAAAAAAGAAAGATAAATTAATAATAAAATAATAATTAAATAAGATTTGTAATTTTTATATTCATCCTTTGCAATTTATAAGGAGATATTCTCATATAAATTTATATTAATCTCTGTTCGTGGTCAATAGCTAGGAGCAGGAATATTCACTATTCAAGATATGGGAATGTTACCAAGCTGCAAAAGTTTGAACGGAGGAAGGGGCCTAGTTATATATATAAATTTGAATCATCGTCCTCCCTTCTTTCGTTTGGGATGATTTTCTTACTAGTTTTTAAACAATTTTTAAAATTATTTACTAAAAAATTGTTTTAAGAAACAATAAAAAAGTCATCCCAAACGAAACCGAAAAGTAAAATTTTCCATCATTAGAATAATCATAAGGTAGTACTTAACAGTTCGTTGCATAACAAAATGATTATTAATAATTTTGTTGTTATTTTTGATATGCCAGAGAAAAATCAGCTTGATGGGAGAAGAATCATGATACAATTTGGAGTGAGAAACTTTCTAAATTCAACTCCGAAATATCTGAACTATAATTTCACTAAACTTATGATCAAATTGATTATCTCGACTAGATGAATCCAATAGCAATAAAAATGATCCAATCCAAATTCGAATGAGTCTAGAGAAAGTATTTAGGATTGCAATTGAAAACTTTGATACATTAATGAGAGGGCCGAATGATATTCAAATTTTGAATGATTATATTCAAATCGAGCTTCTCAATAAGATGAATCCAATAAAACTAATAAAACTTAATTTCAATTTCATTAAGGAATTTAAAAAAATTAAGGAATTTAAATGTTGAAGTAATAATGTATAATTAAAGGAATCAATACGGGGACATTTATGCCAATTAAGGCAAACCCACACACACGTCACATACGCAAGATTCAAAGCCAAGATTTCTTAGCTGATAGCTAGATCTCTCAATCAACATACTAAATAGTGCTATGTATAATCATATTTTTTAAATAATGTGATTAGCAGTCACATTATTAGTTACTTTTTAAAACAAAGTACAATTAAAATTACTTTGTAAGGGAAAAAAACATATATCTTGTATGGACATTTTTTTACTGTTTTTTAAAGTTTTTTTTTTTTTTAATAAAAAAACTTTCAAACTAAAAGATTTGATACTAAAAGACTGCTTCAGAAAACAGTATTAGAGTCGTTCCAAACAAAACCTTACACTTAATGTTTTCGAACTTATTTTAAAACAAAGTACAATTAAAATTACTTTGTAAGGGAAAAAAACATATATCTTGTATGGGACATTTTTTTACTGTTTTTTAAAGTTTTTTTTTTTTTTTAATAAAAAAACTTTCAAACTAAAAGATTTGATACTAAAAGGCTGCTTCAGAAAACAGTATTAGAGTCGTTCCAAACAAACCTTATACTTAATGTTTTTGAACTTAAAAAATGTAATTATAGCAGAATTTTATCTCAATAAATTTAATTTGAAACATTATAGTAAGGTCAATATCAAATAACAATATGTGTAAAAAGGGAAAGTGGTATGCATAAGAGATTTCTGCGTAACAATGCATGTGAGCTTGCCCTACACGATTCCCCATCTAATTTTGGGGAGTATTGTTTGTGGACATGGAGCTGAAAGTCGACTACCATTTGAAATTTGCATGTAGGAGTTAAGATTCGACACTGTTCCAATTTCTGGGATTGACCTCTTTTCATCCGGAACTAATCTAATACAAACCCGTTATTTCCGTCGGTCTAGTTCGACAATCTATGTTAGTTATGTGTAGAATTTGATTGTGTCGATCGAATTATACTGTTACCAACAATTTTAATTTATTACTTCGTAAAATACTTGTGATATCATATGACAAATATTTTTAAATTCAACTGAGTTACTCAGTTACCCACCAATTTAGTGATGGGGTCAATGAGGTTTTTATCTAAGGCTCATGTAGGCTTTGTTGATGTTGATGGGCATTAATGTTGGTCTTGTTGATGTACATTAGTCTTGTTGATGTTATTAGTTGATGACTTTGTTGGCGTCGAAGGGCATTGCCATTTATGTTAATGTTTTTCCATACTTGTTGATAATGACGGGAGCCAATGTTGTTACTAATGATAGGACATATCATTACTAGTGACAAAATGCATCCGAGTAGATGTCAACACCATATATCGAACTTATTAACGATGATCAATATTGATAGTATATGCCAATATTAATGTTGATAAGGTTCATCAACTTTGTTGATTATGACAGTCATCAGCATTCGTGTCAACAACTAACTTCAAGATTGTTGTTGATGTAAGGAGTCGATGTTGCAATTAACATTACCGTCGACAACATGTGTCAACTTTATTGGCCATGTTAGACATAAATATTGATGTCAATATTATTGAAACATTAGAAATAGATGCCACATGTAGCTAAGGCTTGAGTTGCAACTTTTAAAGATGGCAAACAAATTCTAGAGGAAAGTTATCACAATTTTAAAATCCATAATCAGGGCAAGTGTTGTAACTTGAAAAGATGTTAAAGACTTGGGAGATCTGTGGCTTATCATCGCATGATCCAGAACACCAAGAAGCTAAGGCGAAGGACCATGAGCATGAATGTCTTTAAAAAAGGATTTTGGTTTCGTTTGGGACGACTTTCTTGTTGCTTCTTAAAGCAGCTTCTTAGTATCAAAATTAAAATTTTTGTATTAAGAAGCTGCTTTAAGAAGCAGAAAGAAAGCCGTTCCAAACGAAGCCTTTGTTTAAAGGTGCTCAAAGGAGTTTTGATTCGTTTATTGCAAGACTAGAGCCAACATGCAAGGGTTATGTCCTAGCCAAGCATCCAAGGACTCCTTTCTATATATTTTAAGTCATGTTCTATAACTCTACTTCAAGTAAATTATCTAGCAATATTATATTATAAATTAAGGTTTCATTTGGGATAATTTTAGATTATCATTTTTTTGTTTGTTCTTAAGAGATTTTTTAATTAAAATTCAGCTTATAAAGTAGTAAAAAAGTCATCTCAAATAAAGCCTAAATCTTTTTTCTTAAGATTATAAGTGAATTAATGACCATGATGATCATCACATTGTTTATTTATTTAAGATTCATTCGTATATATTTATTTATATAATTCAAAAATTTGGAATAAGATTTAAAGGCCTTGATAAATTTCATAATCGTTTTTAGTTATGTAAAGCAGTAATCAAGATAATTATATATAAATAGTTTTTACTAGCAGCAAAATATTGTTATGCAAAATATTTATTGATATGTTATCAAGAAATTATCTTGATCGGACACGAATCTTGATGTAAATATGAATCAATAACTTCAAAAAATAAATATGTTACCATCCAAACTCAGTAAATTTATAGTCAATCTAAACATCTCGAAAACACGAATCCAACAATATCAAAATTGGTCCAATTCAAACCCTAGGGCCCAAAGCATATTTGGAGGCTTCATAATATTAATTGGATGATTAAATGATATTCAAATATGACATGCTTATAGTTAAATCGAGCAGCTTGATAAGACAAATCCAACGAGCCCAAGATCACTGAACTCTGACCTCATTAAAATACTCAAATACTCGATAAATGATCTATGATCGAGAGAGTTGATATTAACCACCCATTGAAACACTCCTAACATGTCATTGATCTTCTTCCTATTTACTAGCCATGACACTTCTAATAAATTTTCTAGCTCTTCACCTTCTCACTCATATCTCTTGTCATGAACTCCATGATTTGAGCATAGGCTCCAATCAAGTTTGAATTCTAATTTATTTGAGCATATTTCGAATAGCTTAGTTTACTAAACAATCTATGAATTTAAAAATTTACCCCTCAGTTTGAGTAATTTTTTAGATATATTGCCAATGAGAATAAACAATGGATGTTTCATTATTTTTCAGTATTATGATTTATGAGGCTTATAAAATTAAATTTCTCAAACAATTTATATCTTTCTATCGAAAAGCTCAAAAAGAAAAAAATCAATGCAATAATGAACGCCTCAAATCTCTTCGCAATGAGATTTTGCTAACTATTTCTTAAAACAATTTTTTATAGAAAAATAAATTCTAAAAAAAAAAAAAAGAAAACAATCCAAAACGAAACCTAAATCCCATTCAATCTTCAAAGTCAACTTTAAGCGCACAGTATTGAACAGCACCACATCCTTTAGCAGCAGGTTCTGAATAGTTCAAAGAGGCAAAGAGGCGCAGAAGTTACTAGGAAGAGATGAAAGCGGTGGAAATCACGAGACTCGGCGGACCAGAGGTTCTCCAGCTCCGGGAGGTGGATGAACTGGCCATAGCCGACGACGAGGTCCTCATCATTCGTCAAGGTGGATGCCGCCGGCGTGAACAACGCCGACGGATCTCATAGGCAAGTATCCACCGCCCAAAGGAGCCAGCCTCTTCCCCGGACTCGAATGTTCCGGTACGTCGGCAAATTCGTCGACCTTGGAATCTCGGCGATCAGGTAAGGGAAAAAAAAGGTTTAATGCGATTGGTTTTTTTCTTTTGGCATGTTTGGATAGCATTGAAATTAGTCTGAGCAGGTTTGAATTGATCTTTGTGGAGACTTGAGTATTTTGATGAGGGAGTTGAACTAATAAATCTTGCAGATTTGGATTTGGTAAATCCTGATAGAGTTAAGGGCAACTCCAATGTGTTTGCCGTTCTTGCTTTGCTCCAACCGACCACCATTTTTGACGCCATTTGATGGAGATGAACAGTGCCACTGTTCATCTTTGACATTTTTTTGTCTCTACTGGACTTGCCGAAGAAACCCACAAAGTATCGTTACAGGTAAAATAGAGTTCGTGGAGATGAATCACGGCATTTTTTTAGTTTCACGGCATTTTGGAGTGAAAAATGAGATTTTCGGTTGGAGATGCCCTAAATCTCTAAAATTATTTGGTATGTTAAATAATAAATTAAATTAAATTCTGACTAATTTTTACTTATTTGTTTTATGATTTAAAAATCTTCTTGATTATAAGATTTTAAAAAAATATAAATTTGTAAAGTTTAAATTGAGAGAATTCACTAAAAATCCAGTGTTGTACATATAAAAGTATAACTTTAGAATTTTCTATGTATCATTGACAATCAATTGTCAGCAATGCAAATTAATTGATAAAGTTGAGCATCATCTTTCTCTAATTGCCAACGACAATAACAACAACATCAAGCCTTTGGTCCGCTATGCGGGTCGGCTACATGAATAATTTTTCTCCATTGTGTCATGTTAAAAGTTAAATTCTCGTTTAAATCTAATATGGAAAGATCATTTCTAATATTCTTAAATCAAGTCTTTTTAGATATACCTCTACATTTCTTAACATAAGTCAAATCTAATACCTCTACTTTCTTAACCGGTTCATCGGAAGGCCACCGTTTGTCTACTTGCTCGAGATAAAATAATACATTACTATAAGTCAAATTAAAAAAGTAGAAATAAAATTGAGGTAATTAAGTTAACTTCTTACACATGCATGAGACATATTTGTAACAGTTATATGTAATAAAATTTAATTTACAAGCTAATTTTTGCATTCATGTTGTGATCTTCATCATCTTCTTATTCTGTATCCAACTTATGATCATATTCATCACAAGTTGAGACAAGTTGAAATATAAATCATGATCGTGGTGTTGACCAATGGAATTGTCCACTATTAAACAAGCAAGGATGGGCTAGTTCATTACACTAATGGTGAGGTCGCTAGACATCCTAAGAGTGGCTAAGGAATGACTAGGATCAAGTCTACAAACTCAACTATGGCCTGCTAAGACAATGTAGCCTATCTATGAATTTTAAGGTTTGGCTAATGGTCAAGCTGCTAAGCATCTTAAAACTGGCTGAGAAATGAGTTGGATCGAGTCTACTTAATTAGGTGTGACTTAGTAGGGAAATATAGTATACTCACCATTTGTGCAGTTAAGGATGCATGCTTGCATAGGTGTGCTAGCTTGGCATCATGATCTAGCAAAGATGTTGATTTATAGGCTTTCGGTGAAATGAAAGTCCGACGACAGGCGGCAGCCCGACGGTGGTCCGACGATAGTCAAACGGAAGTGTGAAAGCAGTTGGTGGCCAGGTGGAAGTCCGGAGATGATCGGCGACTGGGCGGTGATCCAACGATGGTCGTGTGGGAGTCTGGTGGCGGTTGGCGATCGAGTAAAAGTCCGGCGGCTGTCGGCGGCCGGGTAGTCGTTTAATGATGGTATGGTGGGAGTCTGGTAACTGTCGGCGGCTGGTAGGATGTTCGATTGGGGTTGGTGGTCGGGTGGTGCCCGATGATGATTGGACAGAAGTCTGGCGGCCGGGCAGTGGTCCTACAGCGGTCGACGTCCAGGCTATGTTCCGTCGGCGGTTGGTGGCTAGGTGGTGATCTGACAGTGGTTGGCGGCCAGGCGGTAGTCCGTCGACTGCCGAGCAGTGGCCTGGCGATGGTCAGGCGAAAGTCCGATGGTCGGCATTGGTCTGCCGGCGGTGGTGTTGGAGCTCTTGAAGTCTTAGAGCTCTCTCTAATCCCCAGCTAAAGGTCCCCTCATGTAGAGAGTGGGGGTTTATTTATAGATTTTTGTGAGTGGCACACCTTGTAAATATGAAGAGATTCCGGGGAAGATTCAGAGTGCTCCATTAGATGGCCCGTATTGATTCTTCCAATCATAGAGCATTTTAAAGCGTTTAAGTGCCTTAACGATGTCAGAATTCAGGGATCTTGTACTCGATGAATTTGTCTTGCCGAGCTGCTCGATTCGACTATAAGCTTACCATATTTGGATATCATTTTATAATCCAATTAATGTTTTGAACCTTCCGAATACGCTTCGAACTCTTGATTCAGACCTATTCGGGCTCATATTAGGCCAATTTTGGTGTCGCTGGGTTCGTCTCTTTGAGGTGTTCAATTTTAGTATAAGTTTATTGAAATCGGAGTTTAGATGGTCCCAAATTTAATTTTGAAAGTTTTCAACTTGTATATGCCTCGAGATTCGTGCTAGATCAAGTCAATTTTTGGTGACGTATTAAGATCAATTAAGTCAGAGCCATCAACGGATTGTAGATCATCAGAGGGGGTGAAAGAAGCATTCGAGGATGTGATATAAAGTGCAAGTGAGCATTTAAAGGCACGTGTGCACAACCTAGTCAAGCACAAGGCACAAGCATAGCACACGGTTAAAGATAGTATGATGTGAAATGAACTAGTGTAGTGGCCTATTTGTGTGGGTAATCCCAGGGCTATGGAGACTAGGAAACATCAAGATTGGTTGATTGATTCGTCGGATAATGAAGAGCAATCTGATTGTGATGATTCTGATTCTGATTTTTCCCTTGTTCGCTCTGCCAATGTTGCTACTAGAGGAAAATTTTGGATGAGAGGTAGACGTAAAAGGTGATTTTGCGTGGCGTTTTATTGTTGTTTCGCTGTTTGACTTCGGTTTTCATTTGGCTTTACTGTACGTTTGGATGCTATGAGAGGATTTGGGCAATGATGTGGTCGGGGCTCGCTTCCCGGTCGTTTTTTGCTGGTGGCAACCGTAGGTGTGGTTTTCGGGAGGGGTTCATTCTATAACTACTGGATGGTCCGTGCTGGACGTCTCGGACGCTGGAAGCCTTGACTGATTTTTGAGCTCGCGTTTTGATTGTACCTCTCCTCTTATTTGGTCTTATTTTCTTTTTTGTTTGAGTCTATGTTGTAATTTTTTGGTTTATTAATATAATTTTATTTTGTGTTAAGTGTGCACAACCTAGTCAAGCACAAGGCACAAGCATAGCACACGGTTAAAGATAGTATGATGTGAAATGAACTAGTGTAGTGGCCTACAAGCACAACATGCAAGTGAATCAAGGATGTGTGACGAGTGAGGAGAAGGGAAAGTAGGCAATAAAAGAAAAAATAGGGGGGTGGGGGTGGATGACACCGTGTCACAGGTTGAGGCTAACGGGTGGATGTTAGCTAGGCTAGGTCATCTAGAGCTCTAGGATTTAAAATCATAGTAAGCGAAGATAATTTGATGATGCTATTTGAATAATGATGTCAATTTATAAACATTTAAAACAAAAATAATATGAAGTAAATAAAGAACATAATAAATATAATTAAAGATTAATTATACAATCTTATAATATAATTATTTCCTTATGTGGTAACACCTATGATGGCAGAGGAAGCAAAGATCAAATAAAAAGCTTGGTTTGGGTACAACAAACTCAACCTACTGTTGGTAAGAAAATTATGATAGCAATGAAGATGCATACCCGAACCCGAAGCGGGTCGGGTTCGGGTCCAGAAAATTGACCCGTTTGAAAAAACGGGTCGGGTCGACCCGAACCCGAATAGTACTGGGTCAATTTCGGGTTGACCCGAACCCGACCCGTAACCCGAAATTGACAGGTCTAGCTATAAGTGATGGCAACAGGAGAGCAACAATGATGATGGGAGAGCGATGGCGATTAGGGGTGCAAACGAGTCGACTCGAGCTCAAGCTAGAGGTTATTCGAGTCTGGCTCGCTAATTGTGCAGGCGGCTCTAACTTAAGCTCGAGCTCAACTTGTGTTTTCGAATCCCAGGCTCGAATTTTGTTCGTTAGCTCGAGCTCGAATAATGAGCTTGAGCTCGGCTCGAGTACATGCTCGATTACAAGGTCGAATTGAATATTTTTTATAAAAATTTCACTATAAAATTGATATTTTTTTGTAAAATTTTTAACATAAAAAAGTACATTATTGATAAGTTACTTTAAAATCATGATGACTTATAAATAATATATAATATTAAACCATTAAAAATAATCCAATTATTTCAAAAAGAACATTATTGATAAGCCAATCACAAATCATAATAAAAAATAGTTATTGGTAAGCAAATTTTATACAACTAAATCTAACATGATCATTATTATATAAACTACAACATTGATAAGCTAATCAATTTTATCAATAGTTATATGACTATTTTTCATAAGAAATATAACTGGTGTTATATAAACAACAACAAAATATTATAAAATATAACTATAAAATAATTCTAACAAAGTTTAAATTATATATATAAAATTAGAACATTATAAAGTTAAAAAAAAATTTCAATTTATTCTTCACATTTATCAACCTGTAATTGATAACAGGAACATTGGAAATTTTATCAAAATTTGAAGATAACGAAAAATACATTAATGAAATAATCAATAAGTTATTACAAAAGTTTACTTCTCCAAGCCTTTAACATATTCTAAAAAATTTTTATGTCAATCTATCAAATTTTAAAAAAAAGACAAATTATTAAATCAATTCATTTTAGTTGTGATTATAAAAAATTTTAAATAAGAAGTAATTTATCGTGAAAATATTCTTAAGAATATGATATTAGTATCTCGATTTCTTCATCGTCTTACTCTTCCTGCAAAGTATGTTAGAGATAAAATAAACATTTAACAAATTATGAAAATATTAAAAATGAATACCTT